ATATATGAAAGACTTACAAAAATCATGTTAAGCGGAGGAACCTTGCCCTTTTCACAATTAATCAGCTCTCTGGTGAATTACTGCCACCGGGCAGGTCACTCCTAGAGCATCAAAGATGTTGGAGTCAAACGCATTGAATGAAAAAGCAGACCCCACTGAGGAAAGCTCTCTCCAGCTTACAAAAACTATGAGTCACTAGCGTAAAGGGAACAAGAAGTTAGAGAGGAAGAGTATGGTATGATCAGCATTAGAGCCAGGTCTGTACACCTGTCTGAACAGACTCAGCAGAGTCTGTTCCACCTCCTCTATTCCCTTCCTCCCTTTAATGGCACATACATAATTTTGCACAAATAGTAACAAATCAGTTAATCCCCACACCCGCCCCATGCAGGGCCTAAACGGTGACAGCATCACCACCGCGGCTCTTTTCAAATAGTGGAACAGACACAAAAAGCTTTTGCCGGGCACTGCCAGGGGCCGCTGGCAAAGCGAGGATCCGGCATCCGCCTGGCGCCCGGCCCCGCGGCTGCCCGGCCCGCTGGCAAACACACCTTCTCTTGGGACCTGAAAGAAAGTGCAGCACTGGCTGAGAGAAAGCTATGGGGATTTTTACGCTGCTTTTCTTTAACTGCTCAACAACATGAATAAAAAGTTATCATGAGCAGGAGATTGCCATGCCACCTTAAAGCCACCACGGTTGGCTACAGCAGCATAAGCTGCTTTATCACCTGGGTAGTGGTGCATGATGGAAAGGACGGGCGGCTGAAGACCTGAGAGCAAAATTCAATCCATCAAAACAATGCAACAGCTTAAAACAGGTTTGCCTTAACCCATATATCCATCAGCCAGAGACTAGAAGCACATGTAGGAGTGTGTGCCACATGCTGGACCAAAGGAGCTCTACGAAGCTTTTTCTCTTGAGATCAACTTTGTAAAGTAAAAAAAAAAGCTTCAAAAGAACAAGAAGCCATCAACGCCACAGTCTGCTCTTTCTCTTAGGAAGATACAGACTTCTGCCAGTGCAGAGGGCGAGGGGAACGGGAGCACATTGTCCCTCCAAGACACGAGTCACTTCCCAGCCTGGACAGCCTTCTCTCCCATCCCACCCAGCCCCTCTTGGCCCGGCGGGGCAGATGCTGGGATCAGCCTCCAGCGTTTCCCAGCCAAGAGCATTGCAGGGGAGCTACTGCTGGTTCACTTGGCCTTCCAGGACTTCAGCTGGGAGTTAACATTCAATTAATTTGTCTCCTTGCAAACTCCATCTCTATCAGCCCCATATCCAGTGCCAGCCGCAGCCTGTACCCTCCCTGCGCCCCATGGCCATCACTGGGACCAGACCTCTTCTCACTTCTGGGCTGTTACTTACAGAGTAAGCTTAGCTTAACACAGGAGAAAGAGGTGCTTCCTAGCACCCAAAGGGGCTGCTGTGGGACACAGCTTGTGCTTGGGCTAGGGAGAGGCTTTATTTATCTATAGTGACCCTCACATAGTGAGCTCTGGGTTACAAATGAGCTTTTATGGTTTTATTGCACTAACTTGGTTTCCTATCAGCACTGATGGGAGAGGAGGGTTGAAAAAGGTTATCAGTGTTTTGTGTCTTGCAAACCTGGAAATATCAATTTCCTGCAGACATCAAGGCCCAGACTGAAAAAAAAGTTCACTTGAAAAAACTACACCATAGAGCCTGTATGCACAGTTTTTAGATATACACACAGTAACTGCTGGCACAGAGCAGCCACTGTCCAAAAGTCATAGTAACAGCCTACACAGATTATGCAACCATATTGTCATTCCTGTTTCTTGCCATACTTGTATGTGTTCTCTTTCACATATGTTTTTCCTCTTACTGCTCCTATGCGTCTACAACTCATGTCTATCTCCAAAAATCCCCTTATTTCAGTTCTGCACTTACGGCCTCAGTGGGCAAAACAGAACTTGTCACTATTACTACTAAAATAAGGCTGGTAACCCTGAGCTCACAAGCTGGCTCCCCACTCCCACGAGAGATATCATTGATGATGGTGAGACACCAAAATAAACAGAAAAGGCAACTCCATCAACAACCAGCAATTCCCTCGGAAACCCTAATGCTGCACATTCTGAAGATAAAATGCCTCTATTTCCATTTTGTCATCTCTTTCCCCAGCTTATTTGCACACTCCTTGTGTTCACGGCACTTCAGGTGATACCCAGGTGTAGAGTAAGATCAGGCAATAGGCTTGAAACTGTATCTGAAGCAGATAAAGTATTCATGTAAAAAAATCAAAAGAAAAGAAAGAAAAAAAAACCAAAGAGAGTCCTATTTTCCTTATGAGAATTCATGCACACACTGGACATAACCTGAGAAATAACAATTCAGTTATATCAACAACAATAATAATAATTCAGTGTTACTTATGACCATGCAGATGCACCAAAAGTCAGCACAGCAGCAACTCAAACTCTGTCCTCAGTCAAACCAAGACTGGAAGCCCCACCTGCCTTGCAAACCAGCCAGGGAGTCAGTGGTTTTCATCCAAGGAGTGGCACAACCAGCAATATCGCTGCAGGGTGGACACTTTGCAAGTCCAGCGTGTCCCCTTTGCTGGACATGCACCCGCTGTGATTTTTCCACCCTCAAACAGCAAAGGCTCATCATTCGCTACAGCAAGCCATGGAGACACACCAGGCTCATCCAGAGGAAATCTCAACAAGCCCTAACACAGACGTGCAGAGAGTAGCACTTACATAACGAGGAGGAGTTTTATCATGCCGTGAAAAAGCAAAACATTTCGCCTTTCATTACCAGTAATGTTCTGCTTTCTTTTGAAGCAGATTTCAGCCGAGGCCAATTCAGGAGTCCCTGCAAGAAGGCCGGTCCCACGCACCAGCACTCCAAGAGGGCTGGCCTAGCCGCAGGCTGCTGACCCCAGCCTCACTGTGGGGCTTCATCTCAGAGCACCACGCCGGCCACAGAAACTTGCAGTTGATCAGCTTTGTTTCTACTTCACGGTCCCGCAGGGAGAGCTGCGTTTTAATAAACATCATGATGGTTAGAAACAGACTTCTTCAAAGGGCTTTACAAACATAACTCTATCCGCGCATCACCAGGAGACTGTAAAAGCGGTGTTTGTACAGATGGGGGATGGCGGGCAGGAAGGTTAGGCGTGCTGCCTCCCCAGAGCGGGTCCGGCATTCAGGGCTCAGATCAGGCCTCCTTAGGGGACTCTTTATCTCACATCCACCTGCTCCCACCACACCATGAGGCTCCACTCCAGCAGCCCAGCCCAGGTCACTGTTTTATGTGACCATGTGCTGCCTGCGCTGTTGCATACGCTCTCCAAGCAGGTGGAAGCAGCTCCTAAAGCCCCCCTGCTCCCTGCATGGAAACATGGTTCCTTTATCTCACCCCCAGGCTGCAACACATTCCATGCAGGACAAGCATGGCAGAGAGACCCAGTAAAACCAAAACTCGCAGAGGTAGAAAGCAGCGTCCCGGAGCCCGGCAGCCAAAGCAAAGCTGTGGCTGGGCGGTGGAACCCGGGGCCCCACGCCGGGGCCGGGCACTCGCCCAGGCAAACTCCTCTAGCAAGAGGTGAATGCGCGCCGGGCACGGGCAGCCCGCAGCGCTAGGACACTTGCGCGGCCGCGAACCGCTAATACCTGCAACCAAAGGCGGGAGCGCTACGG